CCCCTCCCCAGCAGGACACGGAAAACTCAGACCACCAGCACGGCACGGGTTAAAAGTCGTAGATGGGCACCGCTACCCTAGCAAAAGATATTAGCAAAAAGGTGACCTCCATTTACTGGTGCAGTCCTCCTTCTCCCGGTGATGCCCCCTCCTTTTTCTGGAAGCGTCTCACTTATGCTGGTATGCCTCACTTCCCGGGGGCGCCCAACCTCTGCTTGGATCGCCTAATCCATTATGGAGAGACCCACTTTGCTTAAGTCGCCTCATTTCTTCCTTCTAAGAACGACCAATTTGCTGTAGGCGGCCCACTTATCTGGGACGCCCATCTTCTGCTAGAAGTGCCCCTCTTCTTCCTGATGCGTCCCACTTCTACTACGAGTGCACCTTTTCTGTTAGGACGCCCCTTTGCTGCTGAGGAGTCTTTTCTACTGTGAATAGGGCGGCCCTCTCCTGTTTGGCGACCCCAAATTCTGCTGGAGGCGCCCCACTTCTGCCCAACTTTTGGTGGGGTGCCCCTCTCTTGCAGGGGGCACTTCTCTTTTGCTGGAGACGCCACTCTTGTGGGGGCGCCCTTCCACTGCGGGGAACGTCTTTCTTCTGCCAGAGGCACCCCTTTTCTTCTTATGGGGCTCCTGTTTTTTTTTTCTGGGGCGAGGCGACCCTCTGCTGCTCGGAACGGGGCACACCTCTCCTTTTACTGGGGCACCGCCCCTCTGCTGGGGTTGCCCTTCCGCTGTCATCAGGGGCGCCCCTCTTGGTAGAATATACTCCTTTTCTTTTTGTAATGGGGCGCCCCTCTTCTACCGGGGGCGCCCATCTGCTGCTGGGGCGTCTGTCTTCTGCCGGATATTGTCAATGGGGCGCCCATATCCTGTTTGGCGGGCCCAACCTCTGCTGGAGGCTGCCTATTTCTGATTAACTTTTGCTGTGGCGCCTCTCTTCTGCTGGGGCGCCCCTCTTCTGCTTGGGGCGCCCGTCTCCTACTGGAGAACCCTCTCTTCTGCTGGGGCGCCCCTCTTCTGCCAGTGGCACCCATTTTCTTATTATGGGGCTCCTTTTTTGCTGGGGCGCCCCTCTTCTCGGAATGGGGGCGCCTCTCTCCTTTTGCTGGGGCGTCGCTCCTCTTCAGGGGGACACGTCTCCTGCTAAGGGTGCCCTTCCGCTGCCAGGGGCGCCCCTCTTGAACAGAAGGTATTTTATATTCTTGTAACGAGACGCCCTCTTCTGCTGGGGGCGCCCATCTGCTGCTGGGGCGACTCTCATCTGCTGGGAATAGGCAATTGGGCGTCACTCTCCTGCTTGGTGAGCCCAACTTCTGCTGGAGGCGCCCTATTTCTGCTGAACCTTTGCTGTGTCGCCGCTCTTCTGCTCGGGGCGCCCTCTCTGCCGCGGGATATGGGCGCCTTTTTCGGATGGCGGGGGGGGGGGGGGGCGGCCGCCCCCGTCGCCCCCCCCTGGATCCGCGCCTGGATAGAGCTTAGCGGTAAAGACCAAAAAGATTCTTTGGGAAGGGACGAATCCAATGATACCCAGTTTTACCTTCTCAGGTCAGTCATTGACCTTCCAGGTCAGGTCAAACTAAAAAATGTTGCTGGTTTGGGTCACCGTTGGATATCAAGTGCGCTGCTTATCATATACCGATGACGATGCCGTTTTCTGGTGCCAAGCCAGCTAGAACCTCTTTGTCACACTACCCGACCAGAATTTTGGGCTGCTGAGGTCATTTCAGGTCAAGCTAGGTCAAGGTCAATTATATGTGTTTGTAAGTCTGTGTGTGTCTGTGTGTATACCGATGTGTGCACCGATTATTTATGTGTCCATATTACATTAAATCATGATCAGAGAAGCTTTTACCAAAAATGCAGTCAAAAAACTTCACAAAAAGTAAATTCAGCTTGCCTAAAACGCAATTATCTTAGATGACCTAGGTTGACCTTGACCCTGACCTTGACACCTGTACATCGTCGAACAAGTTCCATGATAGGTGGGAGGTAAGACTGGCAAAAAAGGCCGAAATCAAGGTGTCAAAAGCTCACAAGGCCCATAGCAAACGCAAGATGTTGAGAATTGGCCATTTGGGTCATGACATGACCTAAAAAACAAGGTCATATCTCCGAAACAAAAAAAACACAGAAACTTGAAATTTTCAGTGGACATCAAGAAAGGATAGAGGAGCAGCTATACGAAAAATCAGCCTTCTGCCTCTAAAAATGTCGAGTGCAGAGCAGAAAGACTAACGGGGGGGGGGGGGGGTGGCAACCACCCCCTCCATGCGCAGGCGAGGGTTAACCTACCTGACCTTTGATTCAAGCTGAATCTTTTGCCACCAACCGCGTTTTCAGGCCAGGTCAGGTCACTGACCTATGACGTCATAAGGGAACCTCTGCACGGTCTTCAGATGTCGCAACTTCGCAACGCCGTCACTGCCAGAGGAGCTTTCACAGGGAAATAAAATTTGAAGGATCTAGTATCTATTACGAGTCTCACAACTTGTATATCTCGGATTTTTCCTAAAGGTCATATGAGGTCAGGTCATTTTCGCGACCTCACCATATTATAAGTCAATGGAAAAAAAAATATCCAACTAAGCCGGGAACGATCTCCAACTATTCAAGCACCCAGAATCGTGATTTGATGCACGCCTTGCAAGGTTAGATGCGTCACGTTTGCAATGTTGACCTTGCGTGACGTCATTTATGACGTCATCAAAGTCATATTAGTTTTTGTCAATAACTTCCGATCAAATTGAGCTAGCGAGTCGGGAAAGCCGCCAATGGACTCAGGAAGACCTGCCGTCGCGGGGTATTCACAAGAAATCATGAGGGGTATGTGGAAACCCGCTCCCCTCAACAATTGCCCAAGTTAAAAAGTGCGACTATAAGCAGCGTCAATAAATGAATGCATTATAGGAGCGAAGTCAAGGGGTATTGTTCCAAACGATTTCCTCTGTTTTGCACACTTGCCTTGTCTCGGTGCTTTGTGGATATCACGGGGTCAGCAGATCGCTCCTCTCTAGGTCCGGCTATCCGACGCCCGGGGCCTCAATGCAAGTGTTATCCACGCCGACACCCTGTGCGGGGCTCGGGACACTTCTATAGCCGATACGGTATCTCTGCACCCGATAAGGTATGTACCTGCAGTGTATCAACTGGGAAAGCCGTAATACAGCTCAGACGATAAACACGAGGCCAATGGGAGGGGCGGGCGGGGACACTTGGCGATCATAAATACATAGTGTCACCACTGAGGCAGTGAAGTGGTGACGATTGTTGTGAGTTCTAGTTTCAGACGTCAGCTGATGTTTGTCAGCTGTTTAGTCAGCTGTCTGACACTCAACAGCTGATACCAGCCCATGGCTATCGTAGAGGGCGTTCAAATATGCCTCAGTTCATATTTGCCACGTATATGCCACAGCAGATTTTGTAGGCTGTAGATTGAAGATCGTAGGTTGAAGGTTGATAGACAGTACGTTTTAGGTAAGGTTCGGTCAGGTTAGATTGTGTTTCGTTCTATATTTTGCTGTAAAAAGACTAGTGCGACGATCGCGAGACGTGGACTTTGTGGCATATATGATATACACCGCTATCGTCTGATGCGGCTCATAAAAACGGTTGATTTTGTTCAGGATTGCGATTATTCTAAAGCCCCTCGTTCTCCCCCCCCCCGGCCCTACTTATAAGAAAACGAGAAGACAAGATGAGAAATCAGAAGACGCCAAGTCAAATTTGATGCGGTATCCTGATGGAAGTTGTACTTGAAAGTATTAATTAAGCATGATTTGCCTAAACTTTGTAAACCTCGCCTTTCTGGTCATAGCGGATATATGTATATGTATTAGGTCGTTCAATAAGTAACGAACAATCGTTCATAACTCCTTTATTTCTTTATTTAACACTTTCAAACTTTCACAGATTATAGATCAGACATTTCTGAATGCAGCCTTTGCCTCAAACCAGTCGCCGCCCGCCTGCACACACTTCTCCCAGCGTTCCGACCAACGCCGGAATTCCGCCCGGAAAAACGCGTTTTCCGTCTTTTTCACCCAGTTCATGACAGCGCACATGACTTCAGCGTCGGTCTCGAAGTGTTCACCACGGAGGCCATCCCTTAGGGGACCAAAGAGGTGAAAATCTGAAGGAACCAGGTTCGGACTGCAGGGCGGCTGCCGGCTGGGGCATGATATTCAGCCCTGTCTCGCGATCTCCTCGCGTGTGGCGTGAGACATGTGCGGACGAGCGTTGTCATGGTGTCATCCTGGTGGGCTTTCTTGAACCTGGGCGGACTATGGACAGCGGGCCGCTACATCACAGTCCTGCAGGAGACTGAGAAAAGCAATTCTGAAGAAGAGGCGCGGCTCGGATGTCAACAACATCACCATACACCATGACAACGCCCGACAGCACTTGTCTCACGCCACGCGCGAGGAGATCGCGAGACAGGGCTGAATATCATGCCCCAGCCGCCCTGCAGTCCGAACCTGGTTCCTTCAGATTTTCACCTCTTTGGTCCCCTGAAGGATGGCCTCCGTGGTGAACACTTCGAGACCGACGCTGAAGTCAGGTGCGCTGTCAAGAACTGGGTGAAAAAGACGGAAAACGCGTTTTTCCGGGCGGAATTCCGGCGTTGGCCGGAACGCTGGGAGAAGTGTGTGCAGGCGGGCGGCGACTGGTTTGAGGCATAGGCTGCATTCAGAAATGTCTGATCTATAATCTGTGAAAGTTTGAAAGTGTTAAATAAAGAAATAAAGAAGTTATGACCGATTGTTTGTTACTTATTGAACGACCTAATATATAGGAGTGTTCATGCCCTTTACCAACGAGTATTCTATTGCGGTTCGTTTTATAGTCCGTTTATGATTCCTATAGCTCCACAGTGTGCATATATCCCCCACTGTTGGCCAGTAAGCCTTATCAGAGTTCGATTATTGTCCTTCTATCAGTGACCATCTCTGGCGTCTCAAGGCCGGGGGCGGGGCTCTAGATAACATAGACGTCCAAACCGAGGATGGTGCTGAATGTAGCGCAGGTGTGCGGTGACAGCAGCGAATTCGAACAGATTCCACAAACAGGGTGTGGTGAGTGATAATATTGGTGGGGTAGAGCAACAGGCTGTCATAAGTCAAATATATCAGTGTGTTGGATAAGGATACTAGTGTTTAACCCTCGCCGGACCTATTAGTTTTCTACACACGCGCAGGCCGAGGGGGGGGGGGGGGGTGCGACCCCGTACCCGATTACGGTAGGTACCCGATTTAAAGGTGTCAGGTCAAACGGTGACCTCTGAGGTCAGGTCAAGTGGTCCAAGGTACGGGTTCGGTTTTTGGCAAATAACTTCGCAAAAAACAGCCACAGGGCCGCAATTTTGACAGCATCGTGTTCGCCTTGCTCAAGCGCATCGAACGGTATACTTTTTGTTTGAGTGAGGTCAATTTAGGGTGTTGTTTGGGCGTTGACGTCAGATGTGGCTCTAGATCTATTGGTTCCCGAGTTAGCCGTTGGAAGTTTCCAAAATTGTTGAAATGGACTACAATTGACCTTTGATGATCTCTGGTGACCTGACCTGTGAACTGACCTAGAAAATGACCGCATTGGTTCCGTCATGATTTTGGACGTTCTTTCGATTACCGCTTAGTGCTTACTGCGTGTCGCTACATGGCCAAGAAACCGAGTTAGATGGGGGGGGGACGTGAAAGCGTCCCCCCAGCACGACACGGAAAACACAGACCACCAGCACGTCGCGGGGTAACATCACGTGTCTTACTCCTACCCCCAGTAACGAAAAGCTATGTATTTTCACAATCATGATCAATGGAAATAACAATTTGTTTTTTTTTCGAAATGCTGTATCCAGCTGCGCAACATCACCCCACACACCGCGTAACCGCGTCACTTCCCCTCCCTCCTTCTGGCCTCTACCCTCCACCATGCCCCAGCTCAGCCGTCCGCGTGGCTGCCGAGTTCAATCGCGTGGCAGCGCTGCTGGCCGTCCCACGGATCCTGATCTCGGATCCGTGGGGACCATAGATCCAGCTCTTTAATTTGTCGAGAGATCCTAGGGATCATAGATCCGAGTCTAGTATTTTTGCTTGAAATCCAGTAGGATCATAGATCCTCATTTATTTTTGGTCAACATAGAAATCCCAAAAGATCACTCGTTGCAACTCACAAACATTCTTATGTAGTGCTTTTATGTGATAAGTGATAACACGTCATAATCCATAGTTTTATGGCAATTATTGAACATGGAAATACTTGGAAACCTCCCCCTTGGCCTAGTGGATAAGGCGTCCGTCTCCTAACTCGGTGGCAGCGAGTTCGCGGCCGGGAAGCTCCACGCCGTTGGACCAGCGTTCCTATATTAAGCCAGCTGGCAGCTGGCGAGACAGGGCCATGCTAGACCCGGGAGGACCGTGTCGCCATCTACCTGCGGCACGTTAAACTTTCGATCCAAATTATCACCGGTGAAACGGGCGCGGGCAAGGCGGGGTGGTGGGTCCGTGGTGTCATTCGCAACAAGCACTGCTTAGCGGGGCACCCGGGCCCATAGCCACCCATTCATCCATTCGGACAAAATTTCTAAAAAAAAAAACTGGTTTCAACTTTCAAATGTTGTTCATGGTGGGATCCACTCAAATCATCGAATCGATTCATGCTTTTGGTTTATCGTCAGATCCTGTGAGATCATATATCCAGGCTAAATTGTTCACGCCGGATTCGGTGGGATCATAGATCAGAGCACTATTGCATAAACATAAGATTTACTCCACCGGAGTAGATCGTAACTTTTTTACGAAACGGCTATACTCTACGAAGCGCCGTAAGGCGTAAAACCTGTTGCATAAAGGCCGTGACCTACTTCGTAAATATTTGGAAAATCTAGGTATGACGTCATACATGAATGAAAATAGTGCCGGATCTCAGCACGAAATGCAGAAGAATGGTGACAATAATGAAAGCGATTCAAGATCCAGTGTACTGAAATGTGTGAATCACGTTGTCTGGATAAGTGGTTCAAATCACCTTGAATTGATAGCGACTTTAGAAAACCTTTCGTACTTTTCAATATTCATCCGCCGTCCCACATCAAGCGGCGGTCGGCTTGGTAAACATTAAACAACATCGATCGCGGCATCTTGGGAGTGTGGGATATTCTAAGATCATAAATAATTTGCCCTCACTATGGGTTTCAGTCGATATTCTACATAAATTTGCATAGAACTGAGTGCACTGCATCCGTCTAGAACAGTGCCGTAGCTGCTACTGCCACCTTTCGCCAATTAAGCAAGCTGAGATTTGTACACTCGCCGTCCGGTGGTTGCTAGGTAGGTTACGAAAGTAAACAACATTCCAAAGAAAAATTTCGAGACAAGTGTCCAGTTTGGCTTGCAACATCGAGCAAGATCATCATTTGGTGGCTGAAAATGAAGAATTAAGCTAACCAGGGCCCAGATACAAGTAAGTTTTCTATTATAGCGAATGGTTAGGTATTGGTTAGTGAACAATTGTGGCCGTGGGTTCATTGGCGGCGACAGTTCATTGCACACTGCTCACTGCTCAGCCCTTTCAGACTGTTTCAGACCAATCGTGAGCTTTTTCAATAGTTAATGGTTAAAGCTAATGCCGCTACAATTCCTGAACTATATTTTTTTTTTTTGGTGTATTTTGAATTTGGCATCGTGTTTATTAGCCTCAATTACTCGCGACATTCCAATGTTCTGTCGCTTTTTCTTCACCATTATCTACAATTAGGTATGTTGAAATGCCATATCATATTGATATGGTGTCTTATCAGTAAAATCATCTAAATATCCGCAAAATTACGCTTAATTATGTATTTGCAAGCAACAAGCCTTCGCGCGTTGAATTAGTAGGCATAAAACAGAATGCATACCTAAGCTATTACAAGATGTACTTATTCGTCTGTGGGCTTGCGTGATATTTTTCAGTTTCAAACGTAAAAGGGCATGTCAGCATACATAGCATCTAGACACCTACTGGACTATTGTGAATCTGCCAGTGGATTGCTTATTACTTTCAGTTCACTGGCTTTAATTAAATGGCTAATTAAATTTAATTAAATGGCACTGGCTAAAATTGGCTTTAAAAAGTCAACTTTGCACCAGTATAGCAGGGTACAGACCTCTATACTTGCATACAAAGAAGTCTGAGAGCGAAGAGATACATGGTGTCATAAAAAGTTCATTATTCACTCAAGTCACTTTTCCGCCCCTGTCTATGTATCGCCTCTTTCCTGATTCCCTCAGTCGTCTCTCCTATTTCATGCTCTGTCAGCCACTTTGCCTTCGAAAATGATCTCCTCTCAATCCAATCGTTCTTGTCTTTCTGGTACTTACCGACATCTTTATTTCTGTTTCAGGAATTTCTATCCGACTTCGTGGAGGAGTCTTCTGACCACGGTATTCGGCTGTTCTACATGAAGGTTGAAGAATCCCGCTGGGTTCAGCCGACAGAGGGCTCTGATAAATCGCCGATAGATGGCGGATGCTACGCCAAGAGTCACTACCTTCGTTGAAATCGTCCTATCAGCAGCGTCTTATCCCGGTGTTGGCGCACTCGGGAAAAGGGAGGCTGTGCAAGCTCTTAGCTCAGCATCATTTGTTCCCTTTTTTAAAGAAGCGCTCTGCGTGTTACGATTACAGTGACATGTCAAGTTTACATGGGTCTCTAGCTCAACTTGAATCGCGGCCGTATCGGTGCACAACAGACGTTCTCTGAATATGTATGGTATGTAGTTACGTACTAGCCCTCGCCGGCACAGGCCATTTTGCGTCCTTCGACGGCACAAGGGTGGAGGGGGGGTTGGTACGACCCCCCTCGCCTTTGGCCCCTGATCGAGCTAGAGCTTCGCGGAAAAAAAACGAGCGTGTTGCCCGTCACGAGAGGAAGCCGATGATATCCAATTTTAAGGTTCTAGGTCATCGGGTGACCTTCCAGGTCAGGTCAATGACCCGAAAATCGGGGAAATCGGGACCTGTTAGGAAGTCGTAAAGTGTGGCTGCTATGGGGTTTTCCGGGGTGCTGATCACGAATATCGTGTTAGTTTTGATCAGTGATGATGTCTTTAAAGGGACTGTCCCACCTTAACATTAGATTTGAGTTGAGATAGCCATCTTGATGGACGTTCTTTGAAAATCAGTGCCGTGAAAACCGTTTCTCCAGCAATTACTTCATCGCAAAGAAATTTGAGTTTGATTTTGACATCTGTGCAAATAAGTGCCACAATGTATTGGTATTGGCACTTAAATCTGATGACGTCATCAGGCTTTCGAACGTCCGTTAAATGTTTGACTAAAACGTTTTGTAGCACGCGGTGGTATATGCTGCGTTGCGCGCAACAAATGCCGCACTTTTAAATAAAGTCGCTAGGAACAGCGGAGATCCCAAAAAGTAAACAAAAGTAAAAGTCTAATATCCTGAAAACCGGTGAATATTTTTCGGTGAAATTTGGTAGATATTCGTTTTCGCTCTTTCTGAACCGAGCGACATCACTTTCATGCCAATTCATAAACTTTTTTAAAGGTGGGAGGGTCCCTTTAAGCATTTAGGCCAGGTCGGGTCAGGTCAGGCCAACCGATAGGGGTCGTGACGGGTATTCGTAATACGTGTCAATCGCCTCTGACAGCTTCGTAACATGTTACGAAGGCACCAAAACTACTTCGTAAATGTTCAAATGGTTGCTAAATTCGAAATCAGCTTAAAAAAACTAGCCTAGAAACATGTTAGACTCGAAAAAGTGAACCGAGGTCACCAAAGGTAAATGACCTGACCTGACCTTCAGGTGACCTTGACACCCACCATAATGCATGGGAGCAACATCAAATCACATGTTTGAACGTTTGAAACCACGAAAAGCTTGCAAACACGCGGCCAATGCGAGCCGGCATACGCCGAATCGCGATTCCGGCCAAACATGGTCTCGGAAAAGAGGTCACAGGTCAAAGGTCATTTGGATCAGGGTCATGCAATTTTCAGGGTAGGTGTAAAATTGATCAATGCGAGGGTACTAAAAGTTTCGTCGCGATCGTCCGCTTTTTACGCGAGTTATTTGCGAAAAACCTTAGGGGGGGTTGCATCACCCCCCCCCCTGTGCCGGCGAGGGCTAGAATCTGAGGCGAGTGTGTTTGGATGTTCACTAAAATCGTCAACGGAATGTGGGAACCACAAATAAACATCGACACGGCTGATATGTTTGATGACTAATGCGTCTGCAGTTCCTCAAACGAGCTACGAGCGTGCTTTAACGTCAGTCACCACCGTTGTAGTACGATTGTCAGGTACGACCATGCTTATATCATGCTATTGCATTGGTTGAGAAATGAGAGGTGCGGTTGCAGTCTTTCTATAATTTGTTCGAGGATAAGAAAGCATCAGTGTGTAAAGGAGTTACCTTCATATGCATTCATAGCTGTATAAAGACTCAAAAAGTTGGAATTCGGCGTCAAACAGCTGCAATAGCCGACTTTCGGTTAAAATCTAAGAAGCCCACCCCCTCCGTAGAATATTTTACGATTTTTACACATTTGGCGCATCTGCGACATTTTCTGCGCGCTTCGGCGAACTACTTTTTCGTAAATCGTAGCTTTTATGCAACAGAAACCCCCAAAAGTTACGTCACGTGCTGGAGTAAATTCCTTACTCTCCGTACAATTTTCAAGACCTTTGTGAAACAGATTGGCGTAGAATAAGTACGATTCTAAGACAATTCGTAAAATATCTGGTGCCGTAACTTTTATGCAATAGCGCTCTGAACCTACAATTTGCCTCGAAATCCACTGAGATCAAAAATCAATCACTCGGATCCATGCACATGTCTGAATGTAACTACTGTAGCAATGTAACTACTGTAGCAATGTAACTATGCAGCAATGTAACTACTGTAGCAATGTTACTACTGTAGCAATGTAACTACTGTAGCAATGTAACTACTGTAGCAATGTAACTACTGTAGCAATGTTACTACTGTAGCAATGTAATTACTGTAGCAATGTAACTACTGTAGCAATGTAACTACTCTAGCAACGTAACTACTGTAGCAATGTAACTACTGTAGCAATGTAACTACTGTAGCAATGTAACTACTGTAGCAATGTAACTACTGTAGCAATGTTACTACTGTAGCAATGTAACTACTGTAGCAATGTTACTACTGTAGCAATGTAACTACTGTGCCCGGTCTTTCACAGAATGTCGGCGTCATCAGAGACAGCCGATGAAGCTCCCGTAATGGTGTCACACACTGAGACAAATGACGTCACCTGCGGCTCCAGTGACGTCACCAAAACATCCAGTGAAGTCACGTGTGAGGTGCTGGTCATTGGTGCCGGTATATCCGGTCTAACGGCTGCCTACGAGATTCAGAAACGGAACCCAAAAACTGAGCTCTGCCTAGTAGAGGCTAAAGGTAGGAGATGAGGGAACTACTGCCATAAAGGATTGTTGCAGAGGTTAGGTATTTGGCATTCCCATACCTGCTCCATTGCATGTTAACCCGCGCCCTGGTGGGGTCTGTTTATAACGCGACCTGGTGGGGGGGGGGGGGGGGCTATTTTTTGCCCCCCTCATATCTCCGAAATTACTGGATTGATCCACAAATTTCAAACGGTGTTCGAAAGGCCTGTCAAATTTGTCGAAGGAAACCAAATTTCATTGACCTCGGGGTCACCGATGACGTCACAGGTCAGGTCAAAGATGAAATGTTTCACCGTTCACGGGTCTTCTAGGGAATGCGCTATAACACCGAGGAAAACGCATTTTGTCGAGAATCAGCGATAGGGCGTCAGTTGCCTAGTAGATATGTTGCTATTAGAGGTCACTGACAATACCAGGTCAGGTCAGAGGTCAGGTCACCAAGGGTCACAGGTCAGGTCACATGAACCCAACTTTACTAGGGTTGTGTGATGCATGTTTTATGACCAATTTTTCATTTCCAACTCAATGGTGTTGGTTATAAGACTATCAGGTACGGCTTAGCTCACTTTCTGGTGAAGTTCAGGTCAAGGTCAGGTCAAGGTCAGGCCAAAAAAGGTCAAATTTTAAAGTTGATAGTTTTGCATAAAATGGGTATTGATTCGATGCAGCTCGTCACGGGGAGTCGAATGGTGGTCTTTGTTTTGCGCTACGGGGTCTAGAATTGCTAAAAATTGAGTTTGAAAATTTGACGTCATCAATTTTGAACAGTTTTTTTCGCTATAACTTAGCCAAAAAAAGAGGTATCAATCTCAAATTTGGTATGTGGATGGAAGGCGGTAAGGACTATCACATATGTTCCGGTTTTTGCGAAATTCAAAAAACTTTTTGGATTTTTAGATTATTATATCCAAAAAAAATATTCTTTAATTTTTGGGGGTCAAAATCCAAAAATTTCAAAAATCCGAGATAGCAGTTTTGTAGCCCTGTCGATTCTACAGCTTTTATGTCTTTATCATTTTTCTGTATTTGCAAAGCTATAGGCCTGACAGCTCTTCCCGCGAAACCCTTTTTTGGGTCGAAAACGGCAGAACATGACGTCACTCTGACATCATTTCCGGCCAACCTATCATAGCCTTTGGAAAAAATTTTGATCACAATGTGTAAAATTGATGTCTGGGAGGGTACTGAAAGTTTAGTGACGATCGGCGCAGCGGTTCTGGAGATATATCGAAAAGTCTGGAGGGGGGGCAAAAAATAGCCCCCCACCAGGTCGCGGGTTAAATCGAGACATCCAGGCAATTAAACGGCACGTGCACTGTACCACACTTTTCAAAGTTTAATGCAATGCTTTAACCCTCGCCGGCCGAGGGGGGGCGGGTGCCGCCCCACCCCCATAGGGTTTTTTCGCGATAGCTCTGAACACGCTGGCGATAGAGAGCTGAAACTTAGCATACCTGACCTTTGATCCAAGCCGCATCTTTTGACACCAACCGCATTTTTGGGTCAGGTCAGGTCACTGACCTATGACGTCATAAGTGAACCTCTGCACGGTCTTCAGATGTCGCAACTTCGCAACGCCCTCACTGCCAGAGGAGATGTCACAGGGAAATGAAACTTGCAGGATCTAGTATCCATTATGAGTCTCACAACTTGTATATCTCGGATTTAAAGGTCATATGAGGTCAGGTCATTTTCGTGACCTCACCATTATAAGTCAATGGGGAAAAATGAAAACTGCTATTCTGGCGCCGGGAACGATCTCCAACTATCTCAAGCACACAGAATCGTGATTTGAGGCACTCATTGCAAGGTTAGATGCGTCACTTTTGCAATGTTGACCTTGCGTGACGTCATTTATGACGTCATCAAGGTCATATTAGTTTTTCGTCAATAACTCTTGATCAAATTGAGCTAGCGAGTCGAGAAAGCCACCAATGGACTCAGGAAGACCTGCCGAATCGAATGATATGCGACATGACCTCTTTCGACCAACTTCGTGACCTGGGGGTGCTGACCTGACCTTGACCTGAGGTCAACACCTCAAGTTGACCTGACCCGGACAAAAAGTATATCATTCGACGCGCCTGAGCGAGGCAAACACGATGCTGCCAAAATCGCGGCTCTGCGGCCGTTTTTGGCGAAGTTATTCACCAAAAACTGAACCGTACCCTGGGGCATTTGACCTGACCTCAGAGGTCACCGGTTGACCTAGGACCTTAAAATCGGGTACCAATCTCTGCGTCTCGTAACGGCGCACACGCTCGTTTTTTTCCGCGACGCGCTAGCTCCACCAGGGGCGAAACGGCGAGGGGGGGTCGTACCCGCCCCCCCCCCCCCCCTCGGCCGGCGCGTATGTAGAAAGCCAATAGGTCCGGCGAGGGTTAATATTACAAGCCGTGTGGTTCAAGGGGTGTGGTTAAACACGTTGAACCACACGGCTGCTGACGTCACTATCATATAGTTGTGAGCTTTTTGGCAGGTATGGGAAACACCTTCCAGCCTTAAGGCCGGGAATTCAATAAATGTCACCTCGCTTTTTTAGCAAGATCACCTCGTTCCTAGCGGCCCTCGGATTTTTCGCTAAAAAACCTCGGTGACATTTATTGAAGCATCCCGGCCCCGGGCAGGAATATATTAACGCGTCCCACCAAGGTTATATAAAGGTCGAAGGTTATAGGAGTGTGCATCCAAGTGCGTTATATGTTGATTGGTGATGTGATTATTAGTCAAGTGATGATTAGTGTGGGGCGAAAGCCAGTAATGTAAACCGAATGTCTAGGGTAAAAAAAAAAACTGGTTAAAAGAACATATCAACGTCATGGAGCTGTTTGACTGTCAGCGGCGAATGCCAGAGAACAGTGGCATCGGTCTGCAGTTTTCACAATATCGTGGCATTTCCAGTTCCGTGCCGTTCAGTTTGTACTGAATTACCGTAAAGTGGGGCTATTTGAGACAGTGGGGCTATTTGAGACAGTGCGGCAGTTGCTTAGTAAAATTGCTGTAAAATTAAAACCGTTTGATATATTTGATCAATTTTTGCTCAGGCTGATGTGGAATTTAACAATGAATTCCATGGATAGGGTTTTTTGAAAATTTTAAATTTTTTGAAAGAAATTTGGCATTTAACCCGCGCCGGGCCGGGGGGGGGGGTGTTTGAACACCCCACCCCCTTCGGTTTTTCGCAGATATCTCAAAAACAGCGGCGCGGAGCGCCGCCGTTTTTGGCACACCTGTTCGTGCATCTTTTCCGCACATGTTCTAAAAAATTCAGACCCAGGTCGCCTTAGGTCAGGTCACCAGGTCACGCCAAGTGACCTCACCTCAGAAAAAATAGGAATGCTCGTCATAGCTACACCGATTGATCGATTGCCTTGAAACTTTCAGCGATTGATAAGAGCAACTATATCTACAAAATGTATATCTTGGAATTTTGATATCGGTGACCTAAGGTCAGGTCAATTTTGCGGCCTCTCCATTAGGGGAAGCCGGGGGAAGCCCGGGCGCGGGGGAAGCCCGGCCACCCCGTTTCCGGCTAAATTATTCACAATAAAATGCTCAACTGTTTGTCCTTTCAGCGTGGCAGCTAAGGTAACGCCAGCAAAAAAGTTAAGGCTGACAAAAATTGCATATTGTTAAAGTTATAGCGCAAAAATGATATTTTAAGGGTTTTTAGCTAAAAAGTGAGATATCTTGCACTGTTAATGTTATACCACACAGTACTAATATTTATACGAATGTTATGTAAGGACCGTTTAAGTGTTTGTAGTGAGGGGTGACGAGGCAGGCTGGCTTAAGTATGACATTTTTTTCGAATATCGCTGTTCTAAAATAAAAATTAGCACATTGGGGTAACCCCGGGCGAGTGGCCAAGCTTACCCCCAACCGAGAGCAATGCCACTAAACCACTGTTTTCCATGAGATAATAGGTACTGAGCAGGTTTGGTTTACACCTAGATCAAAGATAAATTTCGAAAATAAACATGTTATCATAGACAAAGCCAGTCATGTCACTTAAGGTTAACTAGGGTCAAACTACGTTTTTGCTGATAACGCGACAGACAATGAAGCTAGAGCTTCAAAAATGGTGTCGTTGTGTTGTTCTTCATCAGCCGAGTCGAATGATATGCAATATGATGCATTAAGGTAAAAAGAAAAAGAAATTTTAAGGAATTTTGAAATACACATTTTTTGTCAATTTTGCATCACGATTTTCATCGACCTCTACTGTATATGTTGTAGACGCTAGCTAAAATACCAGTAGTGACATAAACTCTAAGATGTCCAGAGCTAAGCTAATCAGTACCTTAATATTTCACTTTCCGTTAATATTTGGAAAACACATAATGGTTTCATCAACTCGTTGTAAAGCGCTGGGGAGGTGGCCGGCGTTACCCCTATGCCGGGCTTACCCCAGAAAAATCAACACTTTTCTAAAACTCGATTTTCTCAACCTTATACTTATTCCACGAAACCGAATTTTCGGGAAAACATGGCCAATGAACTTAGCTAGCTAGCAGGATATCAACATTTTATACAGCACGTATGGTATGTAATAAAAATGAAAAAGAGCTTACTATGCCGGGCTTCCCCCGGCTTCCCCTATAAGTCAATGGGAGAAAATTGAAAAGCGTCTGTTTTGCACGAACGCTATTCTAGACACTCTCAAACATCGAGATATAGGTACAATTGACACACTGAACCGGAAAATGGCAACTGTGACCCCTCGTTATGTCCCCGAGGTCATCTCAGGTCACGAACAGAATCTATCAGTTTTTCGCTAATAACTTCTGATAGAGGCGTGCTAGAGCGCTGAAAACGCCTTAGATGTGTTCGGCTCGACGTTGCGGATCGACTGATATGCAACATGACCTTTTCCGGTCAGGTCATGACCTTGACCTGAGGTCAAATTTTCAAGCTGACCTTTCAAGGTCAAATTATAGTTCATTCGACGCGTCTCGACGAGAGGAACACGATGCTGGCAAAAGTAATGTCATGGCTCTTTTGAGTCAAAAGTTATTGCCAAAAAACCACTTTTCGTAAAAACGGCTATTTTTGGAGTTTTTGCCCTCTGGAGGCTCAACCGTTGACCTGAGGTCAAATCTGAGAACATTACCCAGAAAGGTCTGTAAAAGGGCTATCGAATGCACTTTTCCGCGGCGCTGTAGCTGTATCGGTTCCCGAGATAGCCGTTGGCAGTTTCCAAAATGTTGAAATAGTCAACATTTTACCTTTGGTGACCTCTGGTGACCTGACCTTTGACCTGACCAAAAAAATGACCGAAGTGTTTTCGTCCTTATTTTAGACGTTCTTTCGATTGCCGCTTACCGCGTGTCGCTACGTGGCCCAGGAGCCGAGTTAGACGGGGGGTGTTCAGACACCCCCCCCCCCCGGCCCGGCGCGGAATCTCAGAGCACCGGCCCGGCGCGGGTTAAAGGGACAGTATCATCGAAAAAAAAATCCATGTATGGAGCTGATTTTTTTTTACTAGCATTTCTTATTTTTCTGAATCAGAAAAACATAGTTTGAGGACCGAACTCGGTGAATAATATTGCAACCACATTTCATTTTCATGATTCATTTTCATGAGCGAACCACCACTATACAAGCATGGCCGCCAGTTTGGAAGCATGCAAAATTACTACAGAACTGGCGCAGATAATACATTATTGACGCTACGCTTACGCGGTCGTTCTTCTGATTGAGTTGTCCTTAGGGAGAGGTAGCCTTAGGTATTGCCTATAAAAATATCACGTGACAATTGGAGGGAGTGACAATTGGACGTGACAATTGACAATGGGAGAAAATATCACGTGACAATCACGTGATAAACGTCATACATTGGAGGGAGATTGTGATTCAAGCTGGAGGAATTCCTTTGTTGAGCCGCTAGAATCCGAAGGAAACAGCGGAAATTGCCTACGACTATTTAATGAATTTAACGGTGATGAATAAGTGCGAAAAACGTTTTGGCTTTATAAAATTTGATGAAATGACCAGGGTAAAAGTTTTATTACTGGCGGTCAATTCAAAACGGCGCAAACATTTAAACAGTGAAGATAGTGAAGCACGATTCAAAGTGTGGTACACCTTTCGTACTTTGAGCGGCGATAGCGGGATAACGGTGTGGAGCTTCGAGGATCGGTCTTCAGTTCCCGGACCAGAAAGGTGGGGCCTATGCAATGTCAAATTTCATCAAAATGGTGATACTGTCCCTTTAATGAGAAATACAGAAAAAAACACAATTTGAGTTATACGAAAAGCACCCCTACCTGCAGCTTAACATGGTTGAAGTTTTAAAAACTTTGCAACCGAATCTATCGTAACTATCGTTTTACTTATGGGCTAAGGACATTTTACATGAAGACATTATACCGGGTGGCCCAGAAAAAACGTTCCCAACTTTAAATCAATATTTCTCAGAAAGTGATAAAGATGCAACATTGAAACTTCGAATAGTGAATGCGGCACACATTTTCAGTAAATGGTGTGATTTTCATGGTGTTCGGTAAATTACTTTTTAAACGGTTCGTGTTTCAAGCATGCCATGTAAAAATTACTTTTTTGTTCCGATGTTTACTAAAAAAATGTGAGTGAACGGGTCACTTTCACACCGCGGCACCGCGGCCTAGAGCCATGACTTCTACTGGCAGCTAGTCTCATTGATGGTTCGGGTCTCAGGATGACACATTCCCTCAGGCAACCACGATGGCTCTGTGCCAGCGGCATCGGAAGAAGTTTCCAGTTTTCTAACCATCTTGTGGCTCAAATGCTTTCCTGGCTGACATTCCTGGGAAAAGGTAGCTTTTCAACCGTTTTTTTTTTTTGTCATCTGCTGGCAATGTTGTTTTTCATAAGCTATTCTGTGGTCTTCTGGCACAGGAACCAGTCTGCTTTAGTTTGTTTTCCTTATCCGGTCGATTTACTGTTTGATCTACTGAAAGGAGGGTAATCAGCAGTAATCCATGCACCGTGCCACTCCTGCTCGAAACATGATTTGGTGTTGAAACGAATGGCATCCATGAGCACCATTTTGGCTCAGTATTTGAATATTTGGCACATAAGTGAGACAAAAATATTTAAAATAAGAACATACGTGTTGGTTTCATTCACGTGCTCTATTTTTCATTCTTTTTTATAACATGGGACGTCTAACCCAATCATCACTATCGTTTGACATCGGTAAAAAAAGCAAAATCGTCTTGCCTAATTCAACTCAAGATTGCCAGCTTGAAAATTATGGTATAGTGTTATAATTTGGCATACAAATGCGCAAAGAAATGGCGCAAACTTGATAAAAATTTTGGCTCGTTATTTGTACTCGTATTTGATATATAGGCCTCCAAAGTTCGGAACGTTTTTTCTGGGCCACCCGGTATATTGTTAGCGGTAGTGACAATTATGTAACCCGATGTCTCAGAATCCCGATGATACCCACCTCGTCAAACCTCAACGCATGCCAAATACAGCTGATGATTGTGTTGCCAAGGCCATAAACACAGGTGATATGATGCATCTTATAGACTTACCGCCATCTGCCTAAGGTGTATCAAACGTTCGACCTAAGGAACACCGGTGAATCGGCCATGGGTTCATGGTACTTTTAGCAGCAAGCAATATTAACACATTGTAACCTAATACGATAATCCAGTTTGTGACGGCATTAGTTACCTTTATGAATATGTGCATAGAATGTGTTTCATCAGTCACTGACGTGGTCGGTAATCGACCCATGTCTACTCTGGTTGACCATAAGCACCATTGAAGGTTATTTATCATACATACTAACTGTTAGGTGAGCCTTCAGTATACGTACTTGATGCAGTGCGGTAACCGGCCATTCGATACAACATGCAGTGATCTAGGAAAATCGGTATAAAAACAAAACCGTTTGACCTTTTTCTGTTATTTCTTCACAGGTTGATGTGCAATGGAACAATCAATCATGCATATCATTCTTTCAACCATTTTGGAAACTGCTTTCCCTTTTTTAATGCATTACGGTACGTTTAATGCAGTAGCGAGACTGTCTCAAATAGCCCCACCAACTTTCGGCCTATGTGTTTTACGTCGCCAGAAATAAACACAACAACTTTATTTGAAAATTTCACTGTCATTGACTAAGAAATAGTCCTAGATAATCATCCTGTGCTTTTTAAAGCTTAGGATTACATCATATTATGACAGCCCTAGCATAAAGTAATGCAATTTTTTAGCAGACCAAAATGCTAGGTCCAACGAAAAACGAAAAGTTTGATTATAAGAATTATTTTACTGTAGTTGAAAGAAATGCTTTTTGCTAGAAGTATCAAAATTTAATTTCCAATCGCATGGCATTAAAAGAATTATCCCTAGCTTGACCAATTTTCTTCAATTTCCTTGCAACCAAAACTGTCTCAAATAGCCCCACACTATGGGGCTATTTGAGACAGGCTTCAAGCATAAAAAACTTTATTTATGGTTAATAGCTGAACCAAAATTGACCTATCTGAAAGCGGTTACAGAGAACTACGTTTTTGCAATTTACATGCTATAGGAAATATCAACCGTTTTGAAGGGAAAGGCCAAAAACTGTAAAATCCGTTTCAAATAGCCCCACTTTACGGTACTCTATTCTGTTATATTTATTTCCTCTCTATGTAATTATGTATTTCTCCACCCAACTTCTGCACTCTGTGCTCTATTCAGTACTTCTTTCTTCCAGTTTCTAGAAATACATGATGCACAGCGTTCCTTCATTATGTATTCAATTGCTCCACTTTGTACGCTATTCGCTCTTCCATTCGGTATTCTATTCCTCCAAATTTTTATCGATTCCTCAGTCTGTATTTAATTTCTTTTTTGTACATACAACATTTTCGAAATGTATCCAGTTTGTAATACATTTATCTACTTTGTTTAGATGTAAACATATACCCCTCTAGCAGATATGTCAAATGGTTCCTCAATCTCAACTCAACATTCACACAATCCGTTTTTCTCTCTTGTCAGACCGTGTCGGCGGTCGAACCCTGGCCACCCAGATCCGGGTTAGAGAAGGTCAAACGGAGACCTTTGACCTCGGAGGTCAGTGGGTCGGGTCAACTCAGACCGACATCATGGAGATGCTGGATGAACTCGGCCTGGAGGTCTATCCGCAATACATTCAGGTGATGATGTGATGATCCGTGGATCACTTACATCAGGTCCATCCACAATACATCCAGGTGGTGATGTGCAATGAGCCGTTTGCTATTATATTCGTATGTCGCGGACTGTTGAGATATGTAGTGTTAGTAGTAAAGTAGTTAGATTTAAATAGATATCTTATACATCTAATTATTACATATCTATTTGTGTATCTACAGAAAAAATGTATGTGTTCAATGGGTGGACAAGTAACAAGTCAAGTGTCCTAGTTGCCTGGATAACTAACACGATAGAGAAGATAAACAATGTGTTGGTGGGACTGAACTATCCAAAAATACACATCAACATTGGACATGATGCTGGTGTTTGTACTATTGTTATAAGTTATAACCATATATCATCCTTACATATACGCAGTGGCCTAAATGCTGTTACAACTCTTAATTGTTTGAATGTAAAATTAAAAAAAGAACAAAAAACGAATATAATACACTTAGTTTTAATTCATTTTTTTTTCCACAACACTATGATTTTTACCTTCATCAGTTTTGCAAGCTGTTTGGTGTTGTGCTGTATCGTCTGATAAGTCTTAGAAAGAGCGGATATAAAATACAATATTTTTCATGTCTTGTTTTTATGAATAGTATTCAGTCGCTCGAGATAAACAATCTGAAAACTACACATAAACACAGTTTGGCTATCTCCACTGACCAAGTTTAGTGCATGAAATCACTTGATCTCCGTTCTCTTTTTCTTACGTTTGCCAAACTAAATCTCCCTTTTCCTCCCCCGTTTCTCCCCGTCAGGGTACAAAACATATGCAGTTGGGAGGTGACGCCATTCGACGCTACAGCAGCACGATACCCAACCTTGGCTCGTGGTGGGGCCTGGTGCAGCTGCAGCTCTTCATCTGGAAGGTAGGTATATACACGCGCTTTTTGTATTTTTTCCCGGCCTTTTTAACATTGCTGTCATGACTTTTGTCTTTTGGAATTTGATTTAGATAAGTACACAAGTACCTACCCAATTGATTGGAAAAGCCCACGGGGCTGTATTTCGTTGACAGCATGTCATATCATTTTCTTTACGATAGCATGAAATTAGCTGTTTCGTATCAGTTCCCCAAAATGCCCATTACAACATCACTAATACCCACGCAGCATCTCTGCTTGTTCACATCATCTTATCATGTTCCCATTTGTCTACCTTTGACCCACCTAAAACCTCCCTCAGGTGGATCGTCTGGCCAAAAAATGCTCTCCTCTGAGCCCCTGCAGTGACCGGTCGATCCGTGACCTGGACGGTGTCTCGGTGGAAGCCTTCGCTCGTCAGAACATCAGTAACACGGCCGCTCTGGAGGCCATCATTGCCGCGTGTAGGGTGATCCTAGGTAGGCGGGCCGCCCAGGGGATGGGTTTGAAAACCACTGAAGATGAGTTTGAGAACCACTGGTATGGTTTGGGTCTGAAGTTGTGGTTTGGGGTCGGTAAAAAGTAAGAATTTCGGCAACATGACAGTTTTTGATATCATCATATTAGCCTCTGGGATGAATAAAGTAAAGGAAGGAGGAACATGGGCTATGGTATACAAAAGTCATGGTAGTCTGTGGGATGATCAGTAAAGCGATGAAGGAACGTGGGCTATGGTATACAAGCAGTGTGGCCAAATTGGTATAGCGTTAGGGGGAGGATGTATAAAAAAAAGTCGTATGAGGATGTCACTATTTTCAAAAAAAAAAACTCGTCTTCAGCCTCATCTTAGGTGCAGTTTTTACAAGTAATGTGGAAAAACTATACCTGACGTCAAGTCCTGGTGAAAAGAAAAAAAAAGAAAAATATTGTCATTAAAGATGTAAAAAAAAAACAACATTGCAAGCGCGACAGTACGAGTATGACGGTGCGAATCGTACATTGAAACATTTATTCCTACACTAGGCATGCTTTCACAACAAAAACGTCATGATGATGTAATTTTAAAATTTCTGAGGATGTCATTATACTTTTCATTGGGGGTGACTTTCCCCGCAACATCACCAATTTGGCCACACTGTATACAAGTGGAGGTATCTGTAATGGACATTGTGTAAGCAATGTTGAGTTTATGAACCACTGGCTTGATTCTGGCTGGCCATCGAGTCGCTCATCATATAATGAACATTGTCCATAATTGGTAGGGTATTATGGGTTTGGGTTTCACTAGTCTGACCCGTGCGGGGTCATTCTCCCAGGCTATGACGCCAGCATGAGGGTTATGAGTTTGGGAACCCCTGCCCCAGGCTGTGATGCTAACATGGTTATGAGTTTGAGAACCCCTGACACAGTCTGTGGCGCCAACATGGTTATGAGTTTGGGAACCCCTGCCACAGGCTGTGATGCCAGTAAGTGATGATGAGTTTGAGAACCCCTGGCGTGACCTGTGTCGGGTCATTCTCTCCAGGCTGTGACGCCAATATATGCCAATAAGTTTGAGAACCCCTGGTTGACCCGTGTCGAGTCATTCCTCCAGGCTGTGACGCCAGCCGGGTAAGCGTGGTTCACTTTCTGGCCTATACCCACGCCGCTGGTGGACTCAACGCACTGCTAGAGGCCACACCAGGAACGGCACAGGAGTTCAAGGTCAAGGTCAGTGCGGGATCAGAGTTCAAGGTCAGCGCAGGGTCCAAGGTCAATGTAGTTAGATGGTTGAAAGTTCTTTTTTATAGTAAAGAGTTACTGGTCAGAGCCGTAACTTAGCCGAAGTGGCTAAGCAAAGTGGCGAAGTGGCTAGATCATGGTCTATGAGCAAGATAATGATACGTGTCTAGGGTCACTTCACAGTCAGTGAATGCAGTGAGTATGTATCTTTGTTCATATGCATGATTCTGTGTATGCCTATGTACATTGTAATGTAGTATGCAGGGGCGTAGGATCCTATACAGTTGGAGGGGGGGGGGCTTCAGCCCCCCCCAACTTGCTGGTCAGCCCCCCCCCCCCCAATTTGCCAGGCAGCCCCCTCAACATCATAAAACATGGACAAATCAAAGAAAGCTCAACTTGGCAAGGTTAAATGGTACAATTTTGGGTAGTAGTAAAGCAGGCGTCACGCTTCTTTTTGCAACCAAGGAGAGGCGCTGTAGGTTAGGCTGTAGGTTATAGGTTTTAGGTTTTAGGTGGTAGGTTTTAGGTGGTAGGTTTTAGGTTGTAGGTTGCAGGTTGCAGGTTTTTGGTTGTAGGTTGTAGGTGAGGTTAGGTCAGGTTTGGTTAGGTTTGGTTTGGTTTGGTTTGGTCTGATTAGTAAACATCTCTGGAGTCTGGGTATAGAACCTCTTTGCTTTACGACTACCCAATTTTGGGCTTAAAACTAACTGGGGACTTCGAAAATGTGCATTGCAATGCAATGGAGGGAGTAAATTTAATTTATATAATTACTTTCGAGTCATTAGAAAGAACATACTAGCAAAACAAAACCAGGAAGGTACACATAAAAATCAACTGTGGTTTTAGCAAGCCTGAAATAATCAATTGGTCAGCATGTTAGAACACCAGTAGGTACAGCAGGCGTCAGCAAGCAATTTCGGTTGCAGTATTTTACAAGAACCAAGCACTCTGCATATTGATATCACTCGAAAACTAATTGTATTCTTAATAATTCCAGATCGTGCACACAAACGAGCACACACAACCTTCGCGAAAATAATGCATCGGTTATCTCACCTCCCGAACGTTGTCACACCGTTTTTGTAACAAGACTAGTAAAATCATAAAAATAAATAGTCTTTATATCTATGAGTAAGCAGGCGTTCGATGTCTCTCGGACGACGAAGATTCTACGTCGTTCGGCCAATCACGTTCCATAACGAAGCCGAGCCCCCGCTGACCTTGAACGGGATTGGCCGGACGACGTAGAATCTTCGTCGCCCGAGAGACATCGAACGCGGGGTAAAATAGAGGTGATATCAAGGAAGGTGAAATATCGTCAGCTGATTATGTTTATGATTAGGTATGTCAAATCGGCCTTGGATCACAGTGGTCCAGTGGTCTTTGAGCAAGTCACAATTCAGGTCACCGCAGATCACCAGTGGGACCCCGGGAAAGTCAACCAGTATATATACGGTGCAGCTGCATCTCCAGGTCATTGAAGTCGTCCTGCAGGGCAGCTACTGTGTACCGGGGCGGCCGGTACAGGGAGCCGATGACGAGCTGACGTCCCCGATCAAGCTTAACCCGCGCCCAGCACGACTCCAGCCTGCTGTTGGGGCTTCCGGAACCAGCGATCTTGAGGTTGGATGTGGTTAAACCGGTCTTGGTAAGGATGGCCACGCCGCCGTACCCCCGTCCGTCGGGCCGATCCGTACGGCTGATGGTGTAGCCGGGAAGAACGACCTGGTGTACCTGTCTCCACCGTTGCGGAAGGAGGGTGTACACAGTAGCGGTGGAGGCGGCGTTGGAGGTTCAGTCAGCGGTGCCGACCGGGTAGCTGGGCAGGCGACTACCGAGAGAGATGCCCGGTCCTGTCGGCCTCTCCACCGGACGGACGGCACACGGGCGGGAGATCTACTGGACGAGTTCGGCTGAGTCCGCCCCTGCCGGTGCCACGCCACAGGGCGGCTAACCCGCGGCGGGTCTAGTGAACTGGGGAGGAGGGGGAGTGGCAGTGAGTCGCAGAGGGAAGGGGCGATGGTGGTGACACCCTGACATAACATGTGTTCGACGTATTTTGGTGACACCCTGACATAACATGTGATCGACGTATTTTGGAGGGTCTCAGCCAGGAGTGGAGGGTCTAGCTAGGAGTGGAGGAGTGGAGGGTCTAGGCCACGTGCTAGGAGTGGAGGGTCTCAGCCACGTCTCGGAAAGGAGCACGGCATCGAAGTCGCGACGTCGCAGCACGTCCGAGAGCTCTAGGAGTTTGGGCTTCAGGCTCTGAATGTTCAGTGCCGCGATGTGCAGACAGGCGTGTGCCGCTCCCCGCCCGCGGCGGCGGCGGCCCCTCTGTCCGCGCGCACCGCGCCGCCGCGGTCTCCTCCCTCTACCCTGCCTCGGTCGCGGCCCGGCTCGGTCACCGCCAGGTGAGTGACAGGTCGCTGCCTCGGGCGCTGAGAGGTCACGGGTCAGGGCCGGCGCTGTGCCACCGTGTGGTCCGGGCGCACCGCGGGGACGAGCCGGCTGCCGGGTGGTGACGTCACGCAGCAGGCAGCGATCCGACGGTTGCAGACGCTGCACTCTGCTGCGATGCACGGCATCCGTCCAGGGAGAGGGATCCAGCGCCGGCTGCGGGGCGCAGATGAGCACCAGCACTCGCACGACGGCGAGCAGGGTCAGGCACAGCGGGCCAGGACTCGATGCATGAGGAGGTTCAAGTCCGTCACACGTGACACGACCGTCACGCAGCCAAGTATCGTCCAGTGCGAAGATTCGGGATCAGTCCTGGGCTGTTAGTACCACTTTCACTCCAGATGCACATTGAAAACACACACACCGGATAGGCAAAATGGGTACACGGGTAGGAGCGAGCAGCGCTCGCGTCCGCACAGGGCGGCGCGCTCAGCTGAACTGGTTTATACTCAAGGTTCATGCATTCTCTCCTTTCTCTCTCTCTCTCTCTCTCTCTCTCTCTCTCTCTCTCTCTCTCTCTCTCTCTCTCTCTCTCTCTCTCTCTCTCTCTCTCTCTCTCTCTCTCTCTCTCTCTCTCTCTTTCTCTCATCTATCTCCTCTTCTCCATGTTCTGATTTATGATTCTGATCTCTCTTTGTTTCTTTTTTTCAGAGACGGTGATTAACTAGTCTCGAACAGAGGCGTCACGGACGGGATAGTTCGTCAGTCGCGACCGGAACAAATATGACGTCATTGGTAGTCAGGAACCAACGTCACGGACGGGATAGGTCGTCAGTCGCGACCGGAACAAATATGACGTCATTGGTAGTCAGGAACGGAAATTATGACGTCATACATAGTCAGGAATAAACATATTGTCAACAAAAGTCAGATAAAACTTATCACGTCATAACTAGCTGTGAGGAAATATGATGAAGTCGTCAACAATGAAGTGCTTACATGATGATGGATCACCACAAATAAAGAGGAAATAGATATCATGCCAAGCCCGCAAAAGTCTCGAGAAATTATGATTACGTCTGCAAACAACAGCCCGAGACAGACATAATGACGTCACGAATAGTCACGAGAAAATGTGATAATGTTACAAAAGTCACAAGCAACTGTGATTAGAACCATCAATGTGTAGTCAATTCAAAACAAGACATACCAGAATAGCACTGTATGTCTTTTCTGGCTGTCTGAACATTTTCCACCGATCATAGCAGAAAAGCATTTGGAACTCACTCATGTAACCGAGATTTCGAAGTTATGCTATAGCATAACTGTGCCGACATCGTATACGACGTCGGCACAACGTATCGGCATAAAGTCAACAAAACGTAAAATGACGGACCTTCCGGCAACCCTGCCAACGCCCGCTTGTACCGTTGCCATAGCGTCCTGGCCATGTTGTACCATAACTTACCGAAATGCAACGTTTTGACAACGTTGTACCAACGACATCCGTGAGCTGGACAGGACCCTGAAACCCAATGACAACTTCACTGTACCAAGTTCTAGCAGCGCCCAATTTTTACGACCTTTGGGTCATTGACTTGACCTGTAAAATCAACCAATGAACTAGGTCATGGACAAATCTGCGAAGAATCGGCCTCCTCTGGACACATGCAACATGCTCGTTTTTTCGCGAAGTTTTATTTTCGTTAGGAAAGTATCACTATCCAGTATCCAACATTGCTATCTGCCGTTATCGACCGTTAACCTACTGGATAATGGATATTGCCGAAAAATGGTAATGGGAAGATTCTGTCCCCCCCCCGCCGCGGGTTATATAGCAAAAGAAAGTATTGTTGAAGAAAACGATGTGCCGCCAGACGGCGCGGGTTATGGTCCGCGGCCGATATAGATGTCGCGGCAAACGCGTGCCTTTGCCCCATCTGTATTTCGTGGTTATTTTTTGCCTTGTTTAATGTTCTAAAATCAATTGGTGTTTTTTTTATTGATTTATTGCTTTTAAGGGTAGTGTTTTCTGAGGTGGAATTTGTGATTTGCTTGTTTTGTGATTGACCGTTTTTTCCATCTCTTGCTTCTCTTTTTTTGCTGTCGTGTCATTGTTGTTGCGTGTGATGGGCGGTTAGCTGCGCGCCCGATGTTCGCTTTTTGCTCAGTGGCGAATTCGCCTCGAGACTCGCCGCTGCGCGAGGGTGGCGCTAGTGTAGTAAGAGGGATAGCGAACCTGGCGCGCATGAGATATTCAGGCTTGTATACGTTTTGAGTGCGGCGCGCAAGATAGGAACATTAGTTTTTAGGGTGATTAAGGAGGTTTGAGTGGGACTTTACAGCATTTTGGTCATTATTTTAAAAGTATTGATATTCACGCTTTTGTAAGGCAGAATAGCCACCGCTCACATCGACAGACAGCGAGGACAAGAATCAGAATCAAGAGTCAAGGTTTTTTGGATTCTAGAAGAAGACGGCGAGGTCTATGTTGTAGCCCACATCCTTTTTAAATTACATGTTCTTTTGCGTCAGTCTGGTTTCACTTAGGCCAATCTTGTCGGTCTGCTTGATGTTTCTCATATCTTGGTTGTAATATAGATTGGAATTTGGATGTTTCTGCCTTCTTAATGTGGTGGCTTAACGAATTCCATTTATTTAGGACTATTCGTGAAAAAAACCTTTCCCTCGTCATCGTCTAGGGCTCTCTCTATCGTCTGGATAAAAATAGGCCCCGCCCATCCCAATCAGCTGCTGCATGACGAGTTGATGACGACAACCACTTACTTACCAGCAACCAATCTAGGGATAGCGTACGTGACAGTAATGGTGCAGCGGTTGCAAAATATTACATTGTTATTCAAACGGTTTTTGCTTTTAGGGCCAATTGTTGTGTTTGATTGCATTGAGATATGTCATTAGATGAGGTGTTGATGAAGGCAGGTATTTTTTAAATATTTTTTGACGATTTTTTGCCCTTGTTCTACTAAATAACTGAATCCGGGACCACCTGAAGTCTAAACCTTATTTTAGATAACATGTCAATGCTGTCTTGAAATGTGAAATTTAGACAATGGTAATAGGAATAATGAATAGCAATTTCACCAACAACTTGTTAATCTCTAGAAAGTGCAATTAAAATTAAAATCACTGTTTGCCACACTGCTCCGATCCTGGTCATGCAATTAATGTTCATGGGTGGTGTTTCACGGCAGAGCACTGCAGTGCGCTGAGTGTGTCAGAGCATTGGATTTCCATGGTAGTGTCAACAAACTTCACTCTGACGCTAAGCTATGACAGCATCCCAGAATGCTAGCACGCTGCGGCGCCAGTGCCAGCAGCATGCTAGCAGTATTTGAACTCAAACCTCTGTTCTTGGTAGGTACTTAGTTTTTCAGGACCTCTCTCACTCTGTTCCAAACGCGATTCATCATAAACTAAGAGATCACATGCAACGTCATTTGAGTGACGCTATGGCATGCCGTAGCAACCAGCGCACACAGTGTCTGGGTGGTGAAACAGGGGCAGGGCCATTATTAATCACATTTGCTTTACTTTGTTTCAGTGGAAACCTGTCTGCAGCACATGGGAGGAGCGCAGCAAAAGCCCATCATGGCAGTCGATCTCAACAGGAGAAAACCAGAAAGAGCATAGATGCTTAAAGATTGCAGTTGTACGTACTGCTGTTATCACCTGATGTGAGTGGCTGGCATTGCTCCTGGCAAGAACCACCTGCAAGTGATGAGATGGCGCCTTAGTCGTTGAGTGTGCTGCAGTGTGAGAGGCGCCCTGATCTCTACTTCGTGATGGGTTTCCATTGGAGGTTCAACTGAGAAGTGAGAACTGACTGTGGCCATGCTGGAGCATGCCAGTGGACCTTCACATGCTTAGGGCAGCTTTTGAACAGATGCTGACCATGGCATGTCCCATCCAGTTATCACGTGCGCAGAATGGTGGGGGAGGGCAACTCTGGGCTCTTGAGTCAGCCCTACTGCACAGGGGGTACAGATGGCCGCTTACATTTGGTGTGTCCTGCACCGCATTATCAAGCCCAGTCTGCTGCCACAGGCAATGGGTCGGGCTGCACTATATTAAAGGCAGACTATCTTGCAAAGGAGGCTGGCATCCTCTCCCATAATGACACACCAATTGGCAATCATCGCTGCGATGATCACGAGGGTGTCCGCTTATCTGCCATGGTGAGGTGGAGAGGCAGCTGGCCTGAGGGATGGTTTTACCTCATCTGAGGCCCCCTTTCCCCGCCTGCCAGGTCCGGTCAAACGACCGCTTCACAGTGAACGACTTGCAGTGGATGCCGTCCCACAGCGCAACGAGCGCGCCGACCAGAGGCGGCGGCCGCGCTCCCCCAGTCGACGGTCCCGGTGGACGTCGGCAACGCCCACCGCGCGACCATCAGATCGGATAAGAAGGGGCGCGAAGCGGCGCCAGGCGACGGGGAGCCGCCAGCAGGACCCTCTCGTAGAGGGCAGTTTGGGTCCGTTTGGTTTCCTCCGCTGGTCGCCCCAGCGGGGGCGGGCTCGAGGCCCACACCTCCCACCGCGTGAAGGCGGACCCATCCGAGTGGGCGAGGAGACATGGAGAGCGGCGGGCATCTGCCCTCCGATCGAGCCCATCCTCCCCCTGCCGGATCCACCGTGGGAACCGTCACCAACGGTTTCCTTCGGTTTAGACATCGGAGCCGCCATCCCAACCGCGGCTAGCGACACCTGGAAGAGGAATGCGGCATCCCAGCACGTTGCGGCGCTCCCGCAGTGCGCCACCTGGGTGTGGACCGACGGCTCGGCCACCGACGGCGTCCTGAACGGTGGCGCCGGAGCCCTGATCGTGTGGCCGGACGGAGAGGAACGCTCGGTCCGCGCCCCGGCGGGCCGCCTGTGTTCAAGCTTCCGGGCTGAAATGGTCGCCCTCCAGACTGCTCTCTCGTTCCTACTGGAGAACCCTCTTCACGCCGATGACCCCGTAGTAATCTGCACGGACTCACAGTCCGCCCTCGCCGCACTCCGAGAGGGCCCGGCCGCTCAGCACTCCCCGCTGGGAGGGGCCATCTGGAGAGCCCTCCGGGGCCTGACGGCGGGAGACCGGCAGGTCCACCTGCAATGGGTGCCCTCGCACTGCGGACTGGAGGGGAATGAGAGAGCGGACTCGATCGCCAAGGAGGCCAGCAATCTCGCCCAGGACCAAGCCCCCATCGACGTCCAGACGGCCTACCGGGCTGCCGCCAGAGTGGCGAGGGCCCGGACCATCCGAGCCTGGCCGGCCGGCTGGTTCCGCCGACGAACATGGGACCGCCTCCCGCCGGCCGTGGCCGGCGGAGACCGGTCGGCGGCGGTGGACGTACACCAGCTCCGCGCCGGCCACTGGACCAGCTCTACGCAGTGGCGCCACAGAGTCGGGCTGGCGCCCTCCCGGCTGGCGGGGTGCGAGCAGTGTGACGATCAACACTGCAGGGCTGCGCTCTGCCCCGTCTGCCGGGAGGAGGCGGACACCCCCCAGCATGTCCTCCTGCGCTGCCCGGCCCTGATGGCCACCCGACACCGACTGCTGGGATCCATCAACCCCGACCTGGAAGAGGTGCGGAGCGGCGCCATCGTGGCGGCCCTGGGGGCCGCCCACAGGTCCCTACAGAGCCGGACGGCTACGTCTCAGCTGTGAGACGGAGGGACCAACAACAACAACAACCATCAGATCGGCTCACGACCGCGCCGTCGCCGACCTACCGCATGACTGGTATCTGTTCTTGATGTGGGACCGACTGCCACCGCCGGTCGCGGAAGGGCATCGCTCATCGGCCATCGGCGTCCACCAGCTTCGCGTGGGTCACTGTTCGGGCTGCCACCAATACACCGAATCGGATGGAACCCTGTCGGCGAATGCCGGCGGTGCCCCGACATCGACTGTGCGGCGGCCAGTGCATCGCGTGCCGGGAGGAGGCTGGCACCCCCGATCGGTCATCGGTCACAAACCGTGTCCCAGCTCATGATTGCATCCAGCGCAGCTCTGTGAGATGTTCTGCTGCAGTCTGCCGCGTGTGTTGAAAGAAGAATGAACATGAGAAAACCTCAAAACTTTATGCCTATTAGTATTTGACCAGTATTGGAATAAGTTTGGATTTTGAGAATTTTGTGTCCCTGTGCTTGTGCCTGTGTGGAAAGGCATGCTTTACGGTGTACCATCTCAATTTGTGCGGCTGCTGACAGGCCATCTGGGTGCCAACGTATGTGCGAATCTGCGAATATGTTGTGTTTCGTCAGTCGGTATCGTTTTAAAAATATTGACTGCAATAGGCTATATAGCGTATGACGGTTCAGCCCAGCAGTAATAACTGACCATTGATTGGGCGAATTTTGTGTGGTGGTTCGCTAATACATAACCTAAATAGTGTTTTGCCGGAATCGTTTAGTAGCAGAACTGACCGGAATATAAGTAGAATGCAACGGTTTGAATCGTGAATTTGTTGAAACGATTGTTCTCTGAGACCACTGTGTAGCTTTTGACCTGAGAACCACCAATTATAACGACAATGGTGGAAGCAGTAGGCACTATAGGCACTGTAGGCAGCACTAGTTGGCACACTTACGCAAGCACACGACTTACGCAGTGGACATCTGCATCATGCATGTTAAGGTTTACTGGGAAGAGTGAGAAATTAGTCAGAATATAACTGCCACTAAGGAAAATAGGCGATATTCTGAGTTGGGGCGGCAAGGGGGAGGGGACGTATGGTCAGCTATGCCAATAATTCATTCTTGTTATGCAGCTGTGTAAAAGGGCGTCCGTTTTTTGGATGAGACCTTCCCCATGCCATTTCCAAGCTAAATCGTGGTGGAGAGTCTGGAGACCTCAGCCTCGCTACCCTGCGCGCTGCGCCACCTTGCGAAACATAAAGCAGCAGTCCTGACATCTACAGGCGTTACTTTTCATGAAAGCGCGGATGTGTTCGCGCTTATACGAAGAAAATTCTTCCGAGTATGGTTGATAATGAGATTGATTGTTGTCATTGATTTGATAATTCATTGGCAAAAGTACCCTAATAAATAGGTAAAGTAGCTAAAACTGTATCGTTTTTCCTTGGGAAAAAATGACGAACTCATCCTAAGACATCCAGATTATTGGATGCGTTCGTCAACTGTGAGTAGTTCAAGTTTCTGGAAAAAGTTGCTTGTGGAAAATCATAATACTTCAAAATATGCCTATTCTCGAATCATTCATGCATTTATGTGCATTGAAAAATGATTGTAAAGCAAAAGTGTAAAAGATTATTGTCAAATTATTTTCTTAAATCACAATTTACGAACGCACAAAACTCCAGCTTTTAATTTAGTGCGTGTGCGAATTGAGGTCAAGAAAAAATTATTAAAACTGTCCATATTCCTCTTAAAACAATGAAGGATGAATGAGGAAAACGTTTCTTTGAATGATTGTATATTGCTTTTTCTGAATTAAGCAAAGGTACCAAATTTTAAACTATTATTACATTTGCTCTCACAAAACCCATCACTTTTAAGCATGACGTCATGGCAGCCAAACTTACTAGCGCCATCTCTGGAGAGCATCTTTCAAAACGTCCAGACGATAGAGAGAGCCTCGTCTAGTGGTGGGGCTTGTGCAATTTCAGTTAATCTCACTCTGTTCGGTTTCGTTCGGTAAATAGTTCACACTCATGGAGCTGATGGAGGATTTTGTGAGTCTCGTCTCCCCGTTGTCTTTCTCTCTTCTAGGGTGGTAAGCCTAGCCGACTCATCCGTTCTGGATACTTTAACCCTTGCATTCCCACAATTCTTCTGATAACTGCTCTGTGAACTGCTTCAATCTTCTTCATATTAGATTTCTTATAAGGTAATAAGGGGACCAAACTTGGGGGCAAAATTCAACTTGAATTGTGAGGGCGAACAAATGTTTTGTATGCGAGGCTAAACAATGCCGGACTCAGCTTTTCAAATGTTCTCCTTACCATGCCCCAGCTGGCATATGCTCGTTGAGTGCATAGCTTAACCCTCGCCCGTATTGGTGTTTTTCCAGCCGCGAACGTATAAGGGAGGGGGGGGGGGTCTGTTGGACCCCCCTTGCCGTTTCGCCCCTGATCGAGCTAGAGCTTCGCAGAAAAAACGAGCGTGTTGCCCGTGACGAGAGGAAGCCGATGATACCCTACTTTAATGTCCTAGGTCATTGGTTGACCTTCCATCTCAGGTCAATGACACAAAAGTCGGGAAAATTGGGATTCCGTTAGAACGTTGTAAAGGGTAGCTGCTATGGTTTTTTTCGGGGTGCTGATCACGAATATCATGCTAGTTTTGATCACAGATGATGTCTTCATGCATTGAGGCCAGGTCGGATCAGGTCAGGTCAGGTCAACCAGTAGAAGTCCTGCCGAGTATTTGTAGTAGGTGTCAACCGCCTCTGACATCTTCGTAACATGTTACGAAGGCCCCAAAACTACTTCGTAAATGTTCATATGGTTGCTAAATTCGAATTCAGCTCCAAAAACTAGCCTAGAAACATGTAAAACTCGAAAAAAGATCCGAGGTCATCAAAGGTCAGTGACCTGACCTGACCGTCAGGTGACCTTGACATCCACCCTAATGCATGGGACCAACATCATCACATGTTTGAACGCTTGAAACCACGAAAAGACTGCAAACGCGCGGCTAATGCGAGCTGACATACGCCGAATCGCGATTCCGGCCAAACATGGCCTCGAAAAGTAGGTCACAGGTGAATGGTCATTAGGGTCAGGGTCATGAAATTTTTAGGGTAGGTGTGAAGTTGACAAACGCGACGGTACTGAAAGTTTCGTCGCGATCGACCGCTTTTTGCGCGAGTATTTCGCGGAAAATTGAGGGGGGTTCCGTTCGACCCCCGCCCCCTCCCCTACGGGGGAGGTCGAACGGACCCCTAAACACCCTAACGGGCGAGGTTTAATACGTTTGTTGAAATCCAGCGAGGAGTCAACAATAACTCCTAGGTCTCTTTGTTCGTTAGTGTTCTCCAGCTTAGTACCCATCAAGCGTGAAGATGGGCCTATCGGAAATCATTTGCTTGGTAGGTACCTAATCGAAGAGTCTGACACTTTGAGGCATTATAGACCATATCATATCTGTTATGTAAACTTCATAATCAACCCCTTACAACCTTAAGTTCCCACACTCCTCTCCTCCATCGTACTCTCGCCGTGTAGCTGCGCGCGCGTCGCCGCTCGGCATCACTCTTCCTCCTATGCAAATTCCTGCCACCAGATGTCACCCACTTCGCTGTCTCGAGGCGAATAGAGTTGATGTTGAGTTCAGAAGTTTGGTTTCCTGAACATTTGGTGCCGAAACCCGGGACGTAGAACCAGTGATCTTTGATCGAGTACTTCTGGATGTTTGGTGCCCAGAAGCAAGATAGTACTGCGCTGGTTTCGTCTATTCATACCACGCCGGTCGGTTTGGTGACGACATGGACGTGGAGAGATTGAAGAGAGCGCGCGCCGCGGCTAGGGGCTGGGCCACGCGATCGTGCAGGGCCCTCCAGCTGGCGTGTAGCGCTCCAGAGCCGGATTGCTATGAAATCCAAGAGTTGAAAGCCGAGGTCGAGCAGAGGTTGAGTGCGCTAGATTCGTCTCAAGCTGCGCTGGAAATTGAGTTTGATGAGTCGGAGCTGCCAGAAGTTGTGGAAGAGGCTGCTGACTTTCGCAGCGGTATCAGCAAGGTGCTACGCACTGCTGGTAAGCTTCTCCTTCGTGATATTGATCCGAACCTGCCTGCTCACTCTGGTGGGGCCTCCAATGCTGGAACCTCTGGTCTGCCGAGACTCCCGAAGTTAGACCTACCCAGTTTTGATGGGGACGTCCTGAAGTGGTTGAACTTCTGGGAGTGTTTTCAAGCAGCAGTTGGTGATAAGGAGGAGTTAGCGGACATTACTAAACTGGCCTATCTTCGGTCCCTTCTGCGGGGTGAGGCTGCTCAGTGCATTGCTGGGCTCCCGCTGACTGGTGCCAACTTTGCTACTGCCAGCAAGCTGCTGCAGGACAGGTATGGCAGGACGGATTTGATCATCTTTAAACATGTGCAAGGTCTGCTGAACATGGACAGAGCAACTGAGGATGTGAGCAGTCTCCAAAAGTTGCAAGATGAGCTTCAAGTGCATGTGCGGAGCCTTGAGTCACTTGGAGTGAAAGGAGACAACTATGGGGTTATCTTAACTCCACTGTTGCTGAGCCGGCTTCCCAAGGACATTTGCCTGGTTTGGGCGCGTGACAGTGTTGGCAAGGAAGGTGATCTGGTGTTCCTGCTGGAGGTGCTTAAGGCTGAGGTGAACTCCAGGGTGAAGTCTGGGGTTTACAGCGGCCTGTCTGCAGCTGGTGAGAAACCGACTACAGCTTCAGGAGTGAAGACCCGGCCAGTGGACCGGGACAGCGGTCGGAGGAAGAGGCTTCAGCAGCCTCGGTCTGGGGCAGCTCTGCAGGCTGCTTCCCCTGGTGCTGGTGCTGGGTGTGAGTTCTGCTCAGGGCCACACAGAGCTACTGAGTGTCCTGACTTCCTCAGCTTAAGTGTAAGCGAGCGACAAGACAAGGTGAGAGGAGCTAACTTGTGTTTTGTCTGCCTAAAGGGGGGACATCGAGCCAGACACTGTCTAGAGAAGTGTGCTCACTGCAAGGGTAGACACAATGTGCT